CTGACAATTATGGGCCTTAATGGCGCTGCAGCTTTGCTTTGCTTAGTCATTCCTTGTCCTTTATTGGATTGGGAAGGGAAAATTACATTGGCGTAATTCTACCAAACTGAAAAGGCTTTTATGAGTCCAGGCCAGAACAATGGACCCAGAAGATCCCAATCAAAAGATTAGGGCAACTACTCCCCCAAACAAGTGCTACCTGCAGCAAGCCTGGAGCAATGCCATGGTCCCAGCTGGACTGAGTGAGGTAGTCAGGGCAGTCAGTCCCCTGAAACCACAGGCAGCAGGCCCCACCTGCTTCAACTCTTAAAAACCAAGCCTTGCCTACATTTTTTTTTGCCTGGGGGAAAAAGTGAAAGTTCTTGTTCCAGACCTCCCATGTGCTTTTTTGCTGGTCTTGTGGTTTTGACTCCCTACTCTGACTCTTGTTTCTGACTCTAAGACCCTTGGTGTTCTTTGGTTCTCTGCTCGTGATTCTGGTTTGACTTTTGGCTCTTGCTTTTGGCTTCTGATCCCAGTTAACTTTCAGCTTGCTTTGTCTCTGGCTTTGGCTTCTGACCTTGGCTTATCCTATTAGCTACTGCTTGTGAATCCAGTTTGACACCAGACCCTCTGGGCCTCAATTCCCTGTGAAGCCAACGTGGACTACATCTGCACTTCAGGTAATTAACCTAGCCTAGACTGCTCATAACCTGGTGCACAACATCTTCAGTGTTTATATGAGGGAAAGATATGAGACTTCCATTTCCTTTGCGAGGATTCACTGGTCCTTGCATTTTTATAGGAGCCAAAGTATTACATAGCAGAGAACAAAGGAATAAACTTGTAATATTTGTAGTTCATGACATTAATGTTTTAATGCTTTCTGCTGGGCAATATATAGGCCATCGGAAATACCGCTACCACTACCACCACAAATGTGTTTTCTATTAGTGGAGCATTAGTAATGTCTTGGTATTGGTGCCAGGGCTCTTCAGTTAATTTTTAGTATAGGAAAAATAATTAAGATAAACTGCATACAAAGAAAGCATATTATTCATTTAAACTTCAGAAAAGTGCTGTGTACAGATATTTAAGGATACAGTCTGCTTGAATTTATGAGCTAGAATTCATAATAATCTGTTTATAAAGTGTCATGCTTTGCAGGAGTTACCAAACTTCAAACTAAAAATTAATCTGGAGTAGTCTGAAGATGGGGTGCAGAGGAATTGTGGTGGTATGCAAAGATCTTTCCATCCATTGTCACCCCTACCAATTAAATCTTCTGAAGTAGCATACAACCAAGATCTGTCCTTTTCAGCAAAGATGCCAGTAAGACCATGTAGACCTACGGCACAGAATTGCTCAATCAACCACCTTACCATTTGATAACTAAAAATAAATGCCTTCTTTTAGGACCCTCAAGTCGGCTCTGGCAGTTTCTATCCCCTCCAAATATTCTTTGGCATGTTAGTCGGCTTCTTCTGGTATCCTGAAAGTGTTCAGTTGCTTATTTGTATATTAGTTTCTGCTATGGAATAAACATGCAAGATACAGAATTTGTCTACCGATAAATAAAATGCAGGAGTAGGCTGGGTGGTGATTTAAAAACTTTGTTTTATCATTTTTTTTCATTTTTTTGCAACCACTTCTTTGGTCCCTTAGCATTAGCTTGAGGGATGGGCACTAATGATGATATAAATAATAACTGTCAGTCAGCCTGTTCCCACTGAGGCTGGTAATAGAGATTTACTAGGGCAGTCATTGATGAAAGGCAAAATATGCAGCAATCCAGGATCCTTTGTTCCTAAGAGTGCCAGCACTGCTAAGTCACTGTTCCTCTCTCACACATGAGGCTCTGGTTATTTATGTTCTTATGAGCTAAGATAATGTAGGATGTGCCATACAGGATCAAATCAGTGGGCCATCTAATTGATATCCTGTCTCTAGCAGATATATATCGAAGCACATGCAAGAAGCCCTATAGGGCAGACTGTTAGGTAACAAGCTCTCCAAAGGGCAAGTGTTTTCTAGCCCCCCAAGCGTTATAGGTTTGTCCCCTGAATTCAAATTTGTGGTTACGAATTTTTAGCGAGTGCAGTACATGGTATGGGTAAGCTAACACATTTTCATTGTAAATAGTGGGCCCCAAAGATTCAAGTAGAACAATGAAACAGCTACAGAATTTAAAGTTGTGCTTTTATAATTTAACAAGAATCTCCCATTGAATATAGCCTTCTCCATGTTGTTCTTCCAGTACACTGCACCCCTATCCTGAAAGCTACATTGGAAATGAAGAAGATTAATTCATCCTGCATGCCTATTTGTTGAGGCTGCTAGTCCAGGTGGCCAGTTTTAATACTGGGTTTTTGTGAATTAAATATGGACAAATGCATTTTATCCAATAAGAATGACCAGTCACAAACACATCATTCATTATGCTAACAGATGTGCATTGCTCTTTGCTATCCAATTTAATAAAGGAATGGATTTTAAAATAGTTGAAATGGTGGTAGAAAATAAAGTGGTAGATAAAGTATTTAATAAAATACTTTATTTGCTGAATGTGGGTACAACTCAAATCTTGCATTTCAAAAGTTTCCAAGAATTTGAGTTTCCCGCTAGTAAAAACTTACATCACTTGGACAATTCTAAGCTAATGGCTAAAAAAGGTTTATGAAATTTGTGTGTGCAACAGCAAACATGTGCTCTTATTGTGGGGGAGGGGGGAAGCCAACAGCATGCTGAGCTGTTTTAACAGAAGTGTCACTAGCAAATCAAGGGAAGCAATTCTGCCACTCTGTTCAGCATGGGTGAGGCCTCACCTGGAGGACTGTGCCCAGTTTTGGGCCCCATGCTTCAAGAAAGATTGGCAAGGGTCCAGCAGGGGCCAACAAAAATTATTAGAGGCCTGGGAAGCATGACTTCTAAGTAAAGAAAAAAACTGGGGTTTAGTCTGAAGAAGAAAAAACTGGGGAGTGAGGGCATTCAATAAACTGTCTTCAAATACCTCTTTTTTTTTTTGCTGCTGCCAGCACTGGGGAGCAATGGCCTCAAACTGCAATACAGGAAATTTGGTTTGGAGATTAGGAAGAACCCTCTTATAAGGGTGGTGAAACACTGGAACAGGCTACCAAAGCAGTGGCTCCTAACCTTTTTTTTTTTTTTTTTTTTGCTGCAACCCTAAATACGGGTCACAACCCCTGCCCCCACTGCCAACTCACTCATGCCCAGCAGTGCCAGCAGAGCCCAGGCCAGGCCAGCATCACAGGGGGCAGCAGCAGTGAGAGTGGCAGCAAGAGCCATGGGGACCGTGTGCCAGAAAAGCCCTGGAAGTGGGAGGGGCAGAGTGAGGGGCGGACCCCCGTGGCCCTGTTTTGGGTCGTGACCCAAGGTTGGGAGCCACTGACCTAGAGAAACTGTGGAATCTTCATCCCTGGAAATTTTCAAGACCAGATTGGACAGATACTTGGCTGGGATGGTTTAGTCAGGGGTGAATCCTGCCTTGAGCAGGGAGCTGTAATAGATGATCTGATGATGTCCTTTCCACTCCTACTTTCCTATGAACCAATATGATAGTTTGGAGAATATCTGTCAAGATGTAAATAAACATCTCTCTTTATAAATAATAAATCATTTAAATTATATTAATTTTGTTAGCTTTTATAGGCTGTATTTATGATGGGCCATTTGGTAGTAAAAAGGCTAGCTCAGGGGAGGGCAATTATTTTGGATGGAGGGCCACTTACCAAGTTTTGGTGTGCTGTCCAGGTCTGCTTGGCTAGCCCTGCCCCCTGTCGCCCCCAACCCTGACCTTTGCCACAGGAAGTCTCTCCTCCTGCCATGGAAGTACTCCTTTTAGAACACAGTGTGCTGCAATCTTGAAACCAGAAAAAAAAAAACCCAAATCATATTAAAAAAAATAAAATATCCACTATAAATTATTTTAATTTTATTAAAAATATTTTTGTACTGATTTATGTGTTTGCAAAGTTTATCTAAAGGTGATTGCAAAATAGCTCAAAATACAGTCCTACTATATGTGTGTGGGTGGTAAGAGGGTGCATGTTGGGGGGGTGTGTAGATATGGTGGAGGAGTGTGGGGTATGCGTTTGAGGTGGGGGCTGTGGGAGGATCTGGGATTATGGTGGATGGGGTGGGAGAGAAAGAGAGAGATGGGGCTGAACTGCTGACTTCATCGTGTGCAGTTCTTGCAGACCACGTGCATTGCAGCCAAGCAGACCCCGCAGCCAGGCTCAGCTCTCCTGCTGCCTCACCCTGGGTCTCTACCAGCCCCAGGGTACAGCATGGGCTCTGTGCTCCACCTCGCCACCGCCACTCCCCCACTGTTTCCCTGCTTTCCCTCCTGCATTCCTACCCACCACTGCTGTCACTCCCCCTGCCACCATTTCTGTGGCCCCTGCTGTTCCCTATGGCCCCTCTGCTCCCCATTCAGTCATGCCCCTTTCCTGAGGGGAGAGGAGTTCCCCCCCCCCCCCCCCCCCCCCCCCCCAGACTGCAACACTCAGGTCCGGAAGACTTCAGGGGCGGAGCCCTGGAGCACATAACAGGAGCTGCGTGCCCAGCATGAGGGGAGCACATCCGGAAGAGAGAAGAGCGGGGCTTCGAAGAGCTGAGGAGAGCTGCTCAGCAGGGTGAAGCTGTAGCCCAGAAGCACCCCTGAAGACTTCTATCAGCGGGAAGTGGCGGATGGCTCCAGCAGCTAGGCTCTCCGTGTGCCACACAGCACACGGCGTCCAGACCCTGGGAGCTGTGTGAGGCGACTCAGGTCTGAAACCTCTGGTGTGCGGCCAGAGACACAGTGCATGGGGTAGGACCTTTGGAGCACTTGGGCGGCTCAGGTCCTCAACCCCTGGAACGAGGCTGGGAGCTCGGTGCGGGAGGCGCTGCATGGAGGGTCCGGGAGCAGACCGAGCCTGTTGCTGCATGAGGCAGCCCAGGCCTCCAACCCGCAGCAAAAGGTTGAGTCCAGTGAGCCAGATGGTGATCAGGCTACTGAGCCAGCCGATGGGGCCAAGCCAGAGGCCACAGGAGCCCTTCATAGCGGAGCCCTGTTCCAGGGGACAGCAACCCTTCCCCCCCTCAAAGCCCACTGCAGGCGAGAGAGCAGTCTGGCACAGAGGACAAGGACTGCCTGAGTTGCAGGGAAAAGAGGATTCCCACAGGGGAGGGGAG